ACTGCATCATACGTAGCCATGCTTAATCTCCATAAAACTGCATCATACGTAGCCATTTTAATCTCCAAGGATGCTCTATAAACTGCATCATACGTAGCCATTTTAATCTCCAAGGGATGCTCTATAAACCGCATCATACGTAGCCATTTTAATCTCCAAGGATGCTCTATAAACTATAAACTGCATTTTAACGGGATGCTCTAGCCATTGTAATCTCCAAGGGATCCTCTCTAAAGAAAAGAAAAGAAAAAAACATTGAAAACGAACAAGCTATGGCTTTTTTCAAATCCTTCAGTTTTTCAGTGGCCATATTGATTATTATTTATTTCAACTTTTTCCAGTTACCGATATTTTCTCTGTTCAATGTGATACACAATTAGGCAATCATGTATCTTTCGATACGTAACTGACGAGGCAGATTTTCCCCCGCAGTAGATTGCCATTTCTTTCTGCGGTAGACCAGTTGCCATCCAAGGTCTGTCCTGCTATTTACCCATAGCTATCGGGGAGAAGAAGAGGATTCATACCTTTCCCAAGGGTATTAGCACGTAAGTGAATTTAATGGATTCGACTGGAATTCGAACTCGGCTCTCCGATTCCTCAATCCCAACCACGGTCATTTGTCTTACTTTTAAATTCTGTTTTTAGCCAATCTAAGCTTATATTTACCAATTTCACCTTTTCTTTTCTTATCTATTTTATCAACTGAGAATTTAGGTGTTAGTGCTGTAAAAAAAAACCCAAAAACAGAAGCACCTGTTTCAACATTACCATGAACAGGAATTCACTGGATGAAGTGTCCAGTTTTAAATACTTAGAAGAAATCTTATCTAAAGATGGTACCTGCAATTCGGATATATTTTTTTTCAAGCATTTCACCCCTAGCAAAGCGGGAAGCCACTAGGACGCAAGGGGTTATAGAGTATTTGGAGCGAGAGCAGATAGCAGTGATAGAGGAAATGATGAGGAGAAGGATAGTGGATAGATCAAGGCAAATGGAGATGTCGATTGACATCACATTTGAATAGTTAGAGATTATAGGGAAAATGGAATAGGGAAGGGAGTTCCACAGGCGAGAGGTGCGAGATATGACGCTATTGGAGTAGAAGAGACGGCTACATTTAGTAGTTTATACAGTGAAAGCTGTGAGAGCGGGGTGCCAGCCTCGTAGGGCGCTTGAATTTGCGACGTCTGGGAACCAGCGAAAGCAGCACATCGGGGCAATTACCATGAAAGTATTTGTAAAAAGACAGAGGGAGGCGATGGCGCATCTGTGAGCGAGTGACTGTAGACGAGATGCCAGATCAGGGCTAATTATATTGCATATCCGTCTCTGGATCTTATCAAGAACCCCGAGGCAAACAGTAGGGGCTCCAGACCATATCTGTATACAGATTGCTGCAGCCATGGCAGCGATGGCTAAACTGGCAACAACATGGTGGAGCAAAATCACCTTTCATAGTACAGACTGTACAAATCCCTGGTAGTCTTCATTCTCCTATATGGATGTGAAACGTGGACACTGTTGGCAGAAACAGAGAGAAGGATCCAAGCGTTTGAAAACAAATGCAAGAGAAAATTCCTTGGCATTTTCTAGTGGGAACATAAACCCAATGAGTTTGTGCGGAAAAGGGTTGAAAGTTTTGTGACCTCTTCTCGCCATTGTCAAACGGAGAAAAATGGCGTGGTCTAGACACATTACAAAGCACGACAGCCTGTGCAAAATCATCATCCAAGGCACCGTTGAAGGTGGACATAAAAGAGGACACCAGCGTAAAAAATGGTTGGACAAAGTCAAACAATGGACAGGTAAGATTCACCAGAATTGATGATGGCTGCCGTTGATAGACCCATTGTGGACGAGATTCAATATGGCTTCTGCATTCGGATCCCCACCTATGATTACAAAAGTCAAGGGGATAATGATGATGATGTAAAAAATAGTATAGGTTAGTTATATTGCTTGTCTTATTTGGTTTGTTTTACGGCATATTAACCTGAATGAGTTATTTAATGCGGACAAAATTTTTATTGCAGGTAATATTTTTTCTCTCGAAAATTTTTTGCTGGTAAAAATGCTTTGTTGGTAATATTTTTTTCTTCAAAAATTTATTGCTGGTAAAAATGCTTTGTTGGTAATAATTTTTCTTCGAAAATTTATTGCTGGTAAAAATGCTTTGTTGGTAATAATTTTTCTTCAAAAATTTATTGCTGGTAAAAATGCTTTGTTGGTAATAATTTTTTCTTTTTTTTGTTGGTAAAATTTGTTGGTAATATTTTTTCTTCAAAATTTATTGCTGGTAATAATAATTTTCTTCAAAAATTTTTGCTGGTAAAAATAAAAATTTTTTTTCTTCAAAAAATTTATTGCTGGTAAAATGCTTTTGTTGGTAATAATTTTCTTCAAAAATTTATTGCTGGTAAAAATGCTTTGTTGGTAAAAATTTTTTGAAAATTGGTAATAAAAATTTTGTTGGTAAAAATTTTTGTTGGTAAAAAAAATGCTTTGTTGGTTGGTAATAAAATTTTTGCTTTGTTGGTAATCAAAAAATTTATTGCTGGTAAAAATTTTTGTTATAATAATTTTTTCTTCAAAAATTTATTGCTGGTA